GTCTGTAGTTCTGCTTTCATGTTATCACAGCACTGTCAGTGACACCGGTATTTCTTTATGATATATATATATATATTTTTAAAGATTTTATTTGTTTCAGAGAGAGCACAAGCAGAGAGGAAAGGCAGAAGGAGAGAGAGAAGCAGAGTCCCCACTGAGCAGGGGGCTTGACGTGGGGCTTGATCCCAGGATCCTGGGTTCATGACTTGAGCCGAAGGCAGGTGCTTACCCAACTGAGCCACCCAGGTGCCCTCTTTATGGTATTTTATATTTCTACTCTGAGAAATTCTCTTGTGAGATTTCTGCTGTGCTACTCTTGTGATTTAAAAAGCAGCTTTATTTCTACCTCAGCAGTTTCCTCCTTTTCTTTTGGGTAGATCTTGTGATACGTGTGCTGTTAGTCCCTCTGATTCTACTTTAACATCCCCTTCTTCCCAGCCACAGTCTTAGAAGAGCATGTACTGATGGTTGCCAGTGTTTTATAGCACCTTGAAATAGCTCTTATTCTGGATAAAGAAAAACCAAGACTAGATTCTTTGAGGATTAATTGGTTTTTAAAAGATCAATGATTTGTCTATGTGTAGATGTTATTGGAGCTCTTTGAAATAATGGGCTGTAATTTCCCAGGCTGGTTGCTCTTGCCCCACCAGCATCTGAGTAGGAACAGACTGGGTGGGATTGTGAAGAGAGCAGAGACTTGCGGGCTGGGCACAGCTCTATGGTTCACTTGGCTTCTGGTGGGACATGTGGCTCTGACCACATTTCTTCAGTGGAACATGTGAGGTGGGGTGGACTTCCAGCCCTGAAATTAAATATTTTTCTTCAACATTCTGATCTCCTCGTAGTGTTTTCTGACACTTACTGATCTCAGTGAATATTTCATGAATAAGCATGGTCAAAAAGGAGAGGCAGTCAGCCTTGACCTTGGAGTTGAGGAGTGGTGGGGTTAGCTGGGGCTGCATGGGTGAGGTGGTGATGATGGTGGTGGAGGTGATGATGGTGGTGATAGTGGTTCTTACGCAGGCTGGTCACTTTTTACTTTCGTGGTGGAGAAAGCATTTTCTTCAAGTTCATGGTAGCACAGTCTCCCCAGGTAGTTAAATTGGATCAGTTCAGCTTTGCTTTTTTTTTTTTTTAATTTTTTAATTTTTTAATTTTTTATTATTTATTTTTATTTTTATTTTTACAGTTCAGCTTTTCTTAATGTCAGTCAGGTGCCCTGTATTTATATTGTATCACTTTATAAGGTAGATTTCCTCACAGAAACGTGTTTCTCATTTTAAGGAACCTGTACCTTATTTATGGGAGCTCTGAGTAACAAGCATTTGAATTATTTGAACGTGAATTCTGAATATTTGTCCTTAAAACTCATAAAAATTAACTTCCACATGAATGGAAGACAGTAGGCTTTGGGATGATTTCAGAAGTATATTTTTTCATGAATTGTTAAGGTTGTGTTTATGATAAGTGAGTTTCTCTAGTGCTTTTAAAATGATTACTTCTCGTGATTCTGTTTTAGGAGAGGTGAAGGGTCCTAAGTCTTTACAAAAATATATTCGTTATTATAATACCACTGAACTTGACGTCAGGTGTCAGCTCCACTACTGACCTTGGCTGGATGACCTTGGGTGAGCCATTGACCTCCAGATACAATTTTCTTTTTCTTCTTTTTTTTTTAAAAAAAATTTTATTTATTTATTTGAGAGAAAGAGCACATGTAAGCACAAGAAGGGGGTGCAGAGTAGAGGTAGTGGGAAAGAGGCTGTCTGCTGAGCAAGGAGCCCTATGCCGGGCTCAGTCCCAGGACCCCAGGATCATGACCTGAGCCAAAGGCAGATGCCCAGATAGAATTTTCTCTTCCGTCAAATGGAGTTAGCATCTTTCATGGTGGCTGTAATAATGATGAAAATCACATAACATATCTGGAAATATTCAGCATAAAACCTAGCGTAATGTAGGCATTCTATTATTCCTAGCTGAATTTGTCTCCAAAAATAATGGGGTAAAGTACATTTTAATTAAGCTAGTTTTATTTGGAAACCTTTAATAAGAATGATTGAACTATAATTACAGTGCAAGATTCCTGGTATACTTTAGGAAAATAAGACAAGAAAGTGGTAAGCCTTTGGTAGCTGCAAGGAGTTATGGTTAACATCAAAAACTTAGGTTAGGAATTTTCCATTGGGATAATTAGCTAATTTTTTTTTAAAATATGTAAAGGTGTCATTAAAAGAAAACTGCTGGGCAGCCCTGGTGGCGCAGCGGTTTAGCGCCGTCTGCAGCCCAGGGTGTGATCCTGGAGACACAGGATCGAGTCCCACATCAGGCTCCCTGCATGGTGCCTGCTTCTCCCTCTGCCTGTGTCTCTGCCTCTCTCTCTCTAGCTGTGTCTCTATGAATAAATAAATAAAATCTGTAAATAAATAAATAAATGAATGAATGAATGAATGAATGAATGAATGAAATAAATAAATAAATAAATGAAAGAAAGAAAACTGCTTATTCTGGCACTACATTTTTGGTTTGGCTTGTTGCCATCCTGTCATTCGCTGTATGACATAGCCCCCAAAATTTTTTTATGTGTGGGGAAGGAAGTACTGTGGCTTTAGATATAATTCACATACCATATAACTCTTCCATTTAAGTATCCAATTCAGTAGTTTTTAGCATAGTGACAAAAAGCTGTGCATCCATGCTATCAATGAGTTTTAGAACATTCTCATCACCACAGAAACTCTGCTCTCCTTCCCCCTCCCATTTTTCTCCAACACTAGGCAACCACTAATCTTTTTCTGTCTATATAGATTTGCCTACTCTGAGCTTTTCATATAAGTGAAATCATACAATATGCTCATGGCTTATTTCACTTAATGTAATGTTTTCAAGGCTTTTCCATATTACCGCATGTATCAGTACTTCATTTCTTTTTATTGTCCAATATTCCATTGTATGCATATGCTACATTTTTATTTATTTTTTCATCAGTTGATGGACATTTAGGTTCTTGCTTTTTGGCAGTTATGAATAATGCTGCAGTGAATATATACAAGGTTTTGTGTGGACATAACCTTTTCATTTCTCTTGGGTGTGTACCAAGAAGCAGAATTGCTGGATTATATAGTAACTATGTTTTTAACCTTTTGAGCAACTGCCAAACTAAACCATTTTACATTTGTACCAGCAATATAGGAGGGTTCCAGTTTTTATCCATCCTCCCTTACATTTGTTATTATCTGTCTTTTGATTCCAGCCATCCTTGTGGGTGTGAATGATATCCCTCGTGGGATCTCATTTGTGGTTTTGATTTGCATTTCCCTGACGGCTAATGATGTTGAATATCTTTTCATGTACTTATTAGCTGTTTATATATCTTCTTTGAAGAAATGTCTGATCTGATCCTTCGCCTATTTTTTAATTGAGTTACTAGTCTTTTAATACTGAGTTGTAAGAGTTCATTATATATTCCAGATATAAGTCCCTTATCAGACAGGTCCCTTATTTGTACATATATTCCCAAAAGTTTTTGTGCCTTCAGTACATGAATCTAATTATAATAATTGTCCTGATTGAGTACCTGCTCTGGGTCAAGCCCTGCAGTGGCAACTGTGTATGAATTATTTCCTTTGATCTTTATAATGACTCCACAAGTATAGATCATATTATCCACTATTTACACATGCAAAAACGGAGGCCCAGTGAAGTTAAAGAACTAGCCTGGGGTAAGACAGTAGTTCCTGCCTAAGATGCAGGTCATACCTGAGCCTCAGTGTATTGCACTGGGACGTGTTTTGACACAGAGCTGTCTACGCCCCTATGCCAGAGCCTCTTTGAGTTTCTGGCATATGTGTATGTGCTCACTCTCCCAAGAGTCAGCATGACCTCCCCTTTCTCTTGGTCCTTATGTCCTTAAATCACTCTGAATTCCTTGTGTGCGCTGCACAGAGTGCCTTGTTTTCGTTCTGTGGTATGTTTATAGTGGCCATAGACAAGGCAGAGAAACATTTATAGAGGGGCCTTCATTTAGCTTATAAAGAACAAGGTTGAATTATAAAACTCTGGTGCAAGTTACAGAGGATTATTTTTGCCTTTGTGTAAGAAGAAATGTCTGACAGCTAAAGCTATCCCTCAGTGGAATCAGCTGTCTAGTGGAGAACTTTCCAGAACACTATGTATTCAAGTAGCAGTAGAGAGTTTCTTCCTCTCTGGATGTTGTAAAATGCGTTTCCACATGGGGTGAGGGGCTGGACATTGTGGTCCCTTACACAGTAGAGAAGAGCTTTTCTCCTGCCAGAGGTAGTAAGATAGCAAACAACATGGCACTTCTTTTATGATCTGGCTTCAGTTTTTGTTTTTAAAGTCTGAATAAACATAGTGCTAAACTCTTCAGAATTAATAGGGTAAAAATGTCTTTAACATTCAAAATTTAATCTCATTTGAATAATGCACTTCTTATTTCTCCAATTGACCTTAAAACTTCAGTTCCCATGCATGAAAAGGACTCTGTTTATGGGTGTAGGTTCTGAGATAAGCCAGATCTGTATTTGAGTCTCAGTTCTGAGCATTCTTGCTGTGTGACCTTGGGCTAGTTACTTTACTTTTGTATGCCAGTTTCCTCATTTAGAAAATAGGGATAGGGATCCCTGGGTGGCGCAGCGGTTTGGCGCCTGCCTTTGGCCCAGGGCGCGATCCTGGAGACCCGGGATCAAATCCCACGTCGGGGCTCCCGGTGCATGGAGCCTGCTTCTCCCTCTGCCTGTGTCTCTGCCTCTCTCTCTCTCTCTCTGTGACTATCATAAATAAATAAAAATTAAAAAAAAAAAAAAAAGAAAAAGAAAATAGGGATAATAAGAGTGTACCCTTTGAGCGAGCAGCTGTTAAGATTGTGTAGTTGCATAGCACATAGTAGGTGCTCATTAAATACTTATTATTTGGGGATGGAGAACTAGAGATGTGTATGGTTGCTATAGTAAAACTTCACCTTGTTTTTAAATTTTTCTCAGAGGAAACACAAAAATAGAAGAGGCTTGTGAAATGTATACCAGAGCTGCAAATATGTTCAAGATGGCTAAAAATTGGAGTGGTATGTATAAAGTTTTTATTTGTTTGCTTTTCAGGCAAATAACTTTAAGAAATCATCTCGAAGGAGGAAATGACTATTTGTATATCCTCCTGTGGCTGAGACAGGTGTGCCTGTCGGAATAACTGGTGTGGCCACCATGGTCTGAGAGAAAAGAACCTTGATCTAAGTAAACAGACTATTTTTTTTTATATCTAAACATTGGTTGAGAATTTTTTTTTACTGTGAGAACAGCTCTGTGTAAGGTTCCATTGAGAAATGTGACAGTGAGAGTGTTATTTTTATAAACCCCAACAAAATTATTGTCACTTTTTAAAATAATGCCTTTTATCCAGTGAAATTACACATAGCAAAATCAGTTCTAAAACAGTGGAATTGTTTTATTGGTCTGAGAAAGGATAACTTTCCAACACTGATTTTGAGAAACAAATTCATCCCCTACCATGAAAAAGGAGCTTGTAGACAGGGTATCTCTGTAGTGAAAATGGAGACTGCCTTCAGCTCCAGTGGGTCTCTATCCCTGGCCTGCACCTACTGCATGATCTAAAGCAGGGCCTTTGGGGATCCCTGGGTGGCGCAGCGGTTTAGCGCCTGCCTTTGGCCCAGGGTGCGATCCTGGAGACCTGGGATCGAATCCCACATCGGGCTCCCGGTGCATGGAGCCTGCTTCTCCCTCTGCCTGTGTCTCTGCCTCTCTCTCTCTCTCACTGTGTGCCTATCATAAATAAATAAAATAAAATAAATTTAAAAAAAAAAAAAATAAAGCAGGGCCTTTGGGATGCCTGTCTGGCTCAGCGGTCTAGTGCCTGCCTTTGGCCCAGGGCGTGATCCTGGAGTCCCAGGATCAAGTCCCATATCAGGCTCCCTGCATGGAGCCTGTTTCTCCCTCTGCCTGTGTCTCTGCCTCTCTATCTGTCTCTTATGAATAAATAAAATCTTTAAAAAAATTAAAAAAATAAATAAAAAAAAGCAGGGCCTTTGTTCTCTACAAATCCATTTCTCCATCTGCTTTTCTCCCTCCCAGCTTTATTGAGATATAATGGACATATAACCTTGTGTAAGTTTGGGATATATACTCTGTTGATTTACCCATTAAGGCTGACACTTTAAAAGCATTTTAGTAAGAAATTTCTGTAGAAATATATGAACCTGAAAGGTCCTTTCTGATTAAAATTCATTTATAGGTTTAGTTTTAGGTTAAAAGGGTATGTTTTCAAAATGTACTTATACCTGATTTATAACACATTGAAAACAGTTGAGGAGAAAAGAGCATTGTTTCAGTATTTGCATCTTTTGTATGGTATGAGGGTATGGTCTAAGGATAGATTTGCTTGTACTAATGAGAATGGCCAACAAATGCTGAACAAGAGCCAGGCTGTTGGAAGCAGTTTACTTGGGAGGTCCAAGTTATTACTGTACTCTTCTGAGGCAGAGCCCATCAGAGCTGCCATTTGGTTAGCTGCTGCTACAGGTACTCACATGCCTGCGCACTCCCCTCCCTGGCAGCAGCCTTGGCCCCTCCTCCAGCATCACCAACCCCACGATTCAATAGTGTAAAGGTTGAAGCCTGGTAGGTGGGTGTGTTCCAGTCCTAGCTCCAGCTGGGGGCCAGCTTCGTCTCTGATTGCTCAGTGCCTCTGCCACACTGATGGCTGAGTATTTTCAGCACTGCCTTGGTACTCTTTTTGTCTGGCACAGAGTCAGAGTTGAGCCTGTGTAGGCTGGATCAGGAATTTGAACTGCTTCTTTTCCCTCAGGTGGCAGTCCAGAAGCCTGAGTAGGAATTGTGTAGTTACCTCTGGGAGAGGGATCAGAACAAGGGATAATAGCCAAAGCTGTGGAATTGACTGCTTTATTTCTTAATACCAGCAGTGGGTATTTTGGCCCATGATTTTCTGTACTTTTCTCAACGTTTTTGAGATGACTAAAAACTTTTTTTTTTTTTTTTTTTTTTTTTTTACACGTATCGAAAGGTCTTACGATATTCTTCATGTTTTTCCTAGTGGAAGGATTTCTTTCCTGTCCATTCCTGTTAGTGCTTCCCTGTTCCAGACCTTACTGAGCTGTGTCTCCACAGGCCTCGTGCTTCCCAGTCTGTGGTGGTTCTCTCTGAGCCAAGAACCTCATGACAGTGGGGGTTCATCCTTGTTCAGGTTCTTTGTGCTGACATTTACAGCCTTCCAGAATTGGCCCGATGGTGTCTTCAGCCTTCATCTCCCCTGCCCACTGTGTTCATCCCTCCTGCAGGCAGCATGGGCTTGTCACTAGCCTGTGTTCCCAGCTTCTTCTTGCCTACGGGCATTTGTTCTTTGTGTGATTCCTGTGCTAGAGATTCCTTCCCTCATTCTTTTCTGCCACTCCAGAATCTACAGTCCCTGATCGAAACTTTTTCTGAAAAAAATTAAGTGCATAAAACTTTCACAGTGTACCTTGTCCCAACAGAAACCTGGACAGCACCTTGTAACCAAATCCATCCATCATCCTGTAGGGAATGTGCAATTCTTCACAAGTGGAAGATAAAAACAGATTATACCTCATATGAAGTTCAGTCAGATTTTGTTAAAACTTAAGAAACTGAGTTTTGGAGTTGTGAGCCTAATTTTCACTCTTTGAGATACTTTGTCTAAGAAGTTTCCATTAGCACTTTCTTCAACAGTGACAGCCAAATCCAGTGGACACTGAGATAGTAAGATGATCAAATAAGCATCCTTACTTTGGTGTTTTACCTTTCTTTAAGCACTTGTGGCCTGAAGCCCCAATCAGTGTTTAGTATCTGCTGGAGGACAGAGTTGAACATGACTGGCTTTAGTACTTCATGGAGGCCTGTTGCCCAGGTGCCACTTGGGAGATCTCCTAGGGCTAAGAGAAGCTTTTGTCACCATTCAACTTGCTTCTGGTTTTCTTACACACACATCTGAGATGCACTTGATCACATTTACGTGTGCTTCTGACTGGAGTGCCTTTCATTGATAAGGAACTTTTCTAGGAGTAGGCCCAACACTTAGAGCACAGGCCACTCTGGGAACACTTGCTCTTCTGTGACTAATTGTAGTGACTTATCTTCTTCAGCTGCAGGAAATGCATTTTGTCAGGCAGCCAAGCTCCATATGCAGCTTCAGAGCAAGCATGACTCTGCCACCAGCTTCGTGGATGCTGGCAATGCTTACAAGAAGGCAGACCCTCAAGGTAAGATGTTCTCCATCTCTGTGCAACTAAGACTGTAGGGTTGATGTCGGGGGCCTTTTTCACGGGGTGCACTTCTGGACCTTGGAGTCTTGGTAAAAAGAAGTTTTTGTGTTTTGGGGTAGTAGAGATTTTAGTAACTGTAGGGATTTTTCCATAATCATTTTGAACTTTTATGAGGAAAAATTATGTTCAATTTGTCATGGCTATTTACTTGATAGCAGTGTTTTCTAAAATGCCATTTATAGTGCATTTTGGAGAATGTTTTGGAAATTAGCTTTAATTTTATCTATATCTTCTTATTACCTTAATATTATGAATGTATTATAACTCTTTAAAGAAAACTAATGGTTCCTCACTTTTAAATACCTGGTGTATTTTAAGATCCAGTTAATGGCAGATTATAACATCTGATAGTTAAAAATAACTTACACAGTATTCATCTAAAAAGTGTTTTTTGAAGTGCTGATTTTGAAGAAAGAATGAACTTGGGTATTTAAAGTGGCAAAATTATGCAAATGTTATTTCTTTTTTAGTTAAGATTATACACTTAGCATTTAAAAGCACTAACTTCTCTGCAGCACATGCACTGGTAGCTGTGGAGTCTGTGGTTTTTTTTCTTTTAGCAGTGCATTTTAACACAGAAATCCCAACTTTTATTATGAATGTATCGTTGAGAATGAAGATGCCTCGAGGGCTTTTATATAAAGATTAATCACATTGTTTCTGAATGTGAAAAACTGGACATGGCCTAAATGAACAGCAAGGATAGAATGATAAAATTATAATGCATCAGTATTCTAGAATATGGTACAAACATTAAAGTCCTTGGATTCAGAGCATCTTCAGTGACCTGGTAAATGTCCTCAATGGTAACCAAAGAGCCTCATGAGAATTGAGGTCTCAAATTTACAAGAAAAAAAATGTGTGCATATGGAACTGCATCCAGAAAACACTAGAAGGAAAAGTGCATCAAAATACTAGCAGTGGGTTTGAGTGGCATCATGGATAGTGTATATATTTCTGTATGTTTAAGGATGTAACAATCCACATTTCTTAATATAGTTTGGGAGGAAGTTGCTTTTAATTTTTTAATATGTGTACCTTTCTAATTCTTCAATCAGACCTTTTCTCTTTGCTATTGCCTTTAAAGCAAAAGCAATAAATTTGGAGCTGTCACGCACATGTCAGCATTATAAACCACCACCCTTTTGTGACAGGAAATTTGTTGGCTCAGGGTTTTAGAAAATTCATAGAATTTATTAGCAATATCACGTACTACATTTGTTTTCTTCCTTTTGGCATATATTACTACACTAAAAGTTAGCATCTTTTAACATTGTATGAAATGTTAACTTCCCTTAGGAGTTGTTCAGATATTTTAAAGTGCTTTTGATTTTGGTTCCATGAAGAGTCAAGTCTATTGAAATGATCTTCCTTGTGAAGGACTGTCTTCCAGAATTCATGTATATATACGTGATATCAGTAAAAAATGCATTTGCATTTATGTTTTAGCAACTAGAGCTGATCCGTGTTGATGACAGCCTGCATGGTTTTATATGCAGTCTTGGCCCTGGATGGAGTTTTCACTGTCAGGTTGAGAGTATTGAGCCAGTCCTACTCCAGCTCTAGTTCCCTAAATTTCACTACACCTCCTAGGGACTGAGCATATTGAGGGATCTGGCCTTGTGTGTGATTTCTACTTGCTTTTTACTAACTCACCTGCCTGCATTTTACCCCAAATGCAACCTCTTTAACATTCTAATAGCAGCTAGGCTCCCCGGAACCCTCTTTGACTGAATGGATTTTTTCATTGTTTTTCTTAAATGCCTTCGCTTCAGAGGCTATCAACTGCTTAAACGCAGCCATCGACATTTACACAGACATGGTAAGACACTGCCTTGCTTGAGCAGCTGTGGGGTGGAGTCCTGGAGATGGTTTACAGTAGTACTTTTGTTGTTGTTTTTTTGCTTCCCAAAGGGATTGGCATTCAAAAGCATAAAAGCAGAACGTGACTCTGTTTTGTTTTTTCCCCATAGGGAAGGTTTACAATCGCAGCCAAGCACCACATCACCATCGCGGAGATCTATGAGACTGAACTGGTAGACATCGAGAAGGTAAGCCAGGGTGTGATTCCTCCATAGGTGGGTGCAAGGCAGATAAATGACATGATTTGGGGAGCCCTACCCCTTCCAGCAGAGTTGAGTTGTGCAGAGTCATCAGATGTTTTCACATGGAGACTGGGGGCCTAACAGGCTGAGAACTGGATGGGAATGCCTTCTATCTGAGAGCTGGGTAAGAGTTCCCAAGCCTCCTTATTATCTCTGTTTTGGGTGATTTGTGTTAGGATGACAATATTAGCAGAAGTCTTCCTCTTGGTTGCCAAGGCCTCTGCAGCCCCATAAAGGAAACTTCAGGGCTCTGGGCTCATGCACACCTTCATATTCAGGCCCTCATGCACACCTTCATGTTCAGGCCCTGACCTGGAGGAGGAATGTTGCTGAACACTGGCTTGGACACACCTGTTTCATGTAGGTCTGGTTTTCTGAGCTGTAGTAGTAGTAAAAGAAAAGAGGCAGAAAAAATTGCTCACTGAGCACCTGTTTCCCAGGCTCCGTCTTTACTGGCATGCTGTGAGTTTCACTGCTTTTCAGCTTTACAACACAGAGGCCCTTTTATGGATGTGGAAGTTAGGGCTTGGAAGGACTATGCGGCCTGGGACGACTCAGGTTGGAACCAGCAGAGCTTAGGCAAAGCTGGCCCAAGTGCGGAGCTTCCTCCTGTTTCAAGCTGTCTTCTCAGTCATGGGATCACTAGCAGGGCTCAGGGCACCTCAGCAAGAGGAAGACGTTTGTCAGACTCCAGAGGTTGCTTTGGCCCAGACTGGAGACAGAGATTTGTGTTACGTCCTGAGTACTGCAGAAGACAGGACGTGTGAGTGAGAAGGAGAAACAGTAGTGCAGGCCATCAGTCATTCCTGCCAGGCTAATGAACACCAGCCATGCTTTTAGGATTATAGCTGTGTCCTATCTACATGATCAGGACACTCCCTGAGCCCCCTGTAGCCTCAGACAGACATCGCTCTTCCTCTTTCATCTCATGTCTTTTCTCGGCTTCTGGCACAAGTGCCTGATGATGCCTCCTCTTCTCCCCACTCTCTAGTGTGGGGCATCCTGGGGTGGATTCCTTGTCTTTTCTCAGTCCACATTGCTCCCCTGTTACTGTCTCTGCGCTCATTATCACAGCTTTACAGATTATCTGTATGCCAGTGGCTCGCAAGTGTGTCTGCAGCGCAGACATCTTCCAAACATCAGATTCCTATACCCTCCTGTCTGCCAACCATTGCCTCCAACCCGGTGTGTCTGAGTCAGAATTCTGATACCCTGTTGTCATGTTCCCCTCCAAACACAGGCATCCTTGCTTCCTCTCTTTCTCTACATCCAGCCTGTGGGTAATATCTGGGGTGCTGTCCTCCAAACTTCCAAGTCTGGGCACCACTCACTACCCTGTTGTCAGCTTTGCCTAGATCTCTGCAAGGAGCCTCCAGATTGGCCTCCCTCCTTCTTCTCCTGCTGGAGTTCTGAGCCTTGGGCACAGGGTCCTCAGCATTCAGTCCTTTTGGATTCACTCTTCCTCTGCTTTTGTGCATTTTCACAGAGAAAGGGGGCTTTATACTGAAAAATAGCTTAATTAACCAAAATCCCAGTGGACCATCAAGGGAGTAGGTGTAATATGTCAGCCACTTGGAATTTAGCAAGATGGCTACTATTGCCAACATGAGAAATTTTCTCCTGATATAAAATGATAATTTGATATACATTACCCTGTTTTTTTGTTTGTTTGTCAATAATAGTGTCCCCTCCCCGCCCCAGTGTAACAGAGCAGCCAGAGCAATTCTTATCAAAAGTAGATCAGACTGTGTCCACTGCTTACAACCTGATGTTGCCTCCTCTTCACTCAGAGGAATAGTCAGAGCCTTGCAGGTGGCCTCTGAGGCCCAACCGATTCGCCTCTTGACCTCTGTGCCTCTGTGAACTCTCCTCTTGCTCTTCCCCACCCTCCTCCACCATGCTATACCATGCTTTGGCCAGCATGACCTCTTTGTTCATCTGCACACATGCCACATGAGCTCCTATCTCAGTAGCTGTTTCCTCTGTGGGGCTTTTCCACAAATGCCTACATGGCAAAACTCCCCCATGTCCTTCAAATTTTTGCTCACTTCTTACCATTTCCATGACACCTATCATTGACCACCTAGTTAAAATTGGAATCCCAGACTGTCATGAATACGATACCCAGACACCTCCCCCACTTCAGCTTTTTCTTTTTTTGCAGCACATTTTCATCTTACATCATAGGCTACAAATGTTTGCTCATCATTCCTGTTATTCATGATCTTTCTCTGCACTACAGTGGGTGTGCATATCAGCACAGAGCTGTGCCTCTGGTTTACTGAGGTATCCCAAGAGCCTCTGATAAATAAGCTAATGATGTACCCATCTTTGCCATAGCATGTACCTATCAAAGCACATAGAATTTTGGTTTGAGGAGGTGTCTCTTACTGCTAAAGTTGGATTGGTATTGTTAACCTTTGCCCTCTCTCTTCATGCTGACTACCACTTTGTGGCTATGCAGCACAAAATTTACTGACTTGTTACATAACATTCGTGATTGGCCGTTTTTGTTACAATAATGCCTTTGTTATAATAATGCCGTGGTTTTCTAAGGATACTCTGTTCTTGACTAAATCAGGGCCACTGAGTGCCTTGCATGCGCCGTTCCCCATTGGAGAAGCTGTCTGTAGACTCTGAAAAGGATGAGGAGACCCAAACCTGAACCCTTCTTTGTTCTCTGGTGCAGAATTGATGATGGAACAGAAAGGACATGGGTCTTATGTGGCTGAGATATTTATTTGGTCAGAGTGTCTTGGGTGGGCACAGTATCTTTATTGAGGTTGAATCATCTTGGGACAGCACTCATGCAGAGCAAAGGCTACATTGTTGGCTCCTTACCCAGGGTGGTCAGGAGAGCACTCTGAGCAGGAGCTTATAGCACTGTGCCACCTCTGCTGCCAGGGTATGTTCTTGGGCAACCACTTCACACATGGGTCTCCACAAAATTCAGGGTAGATAAAATGATCTATGCTATATTCTTGTTTTCCTTCTTTTAGAAAAAAAAATATGATTTGTCATGGCAGCTTCTGATGCCTGTTAACTCATGCGTTCCTGCCATTATGTAAGTTGGCCAGCAGGTGACATCTCCCTTCATTGTTGTGATGTGCCCTTTTAAAAGCAATTTAAGAGTATTACTCAGCACACACAGGGTTGTTACCTTGTGGTGTTCCCTGATGTTTGAGTTTCTGTGTTTAGAAACATCATTGCCCTTGCTTCCCTGGTAGGATTCACCAGATTATAGTCAGTGGTGCTTGCAGTTTAAGTTTGAAAAATCAGTTACATTATGAGTTATATATATTATGTTTGAAAAGTCAATTAAAGACAGATGGAGTGTAAGGTAGCTTACATTTCATTTATTACAAGTGAATTTTTTCCCTTTTAATGCAGCAGCTATATGTTCTCTGAGTCTTTTATAGATTTTAGCTAGTGAACAACAAAGTATGTGAAGTTTCAAAGACTCACATTATTTCTTTGATTTTATGAAATAAAATAATGGTCGTCTTTAAATGGAATTAAATTTTTTTTAAAAAGATTTATTTATTTATTTGAAGGAGAGTGTGTGTGTGCATGCGAGCGGGGGCGGGGGGGCAAAGGGAGAGGGAGGAGGGGTGGAATCTTCAAGCTGACTCCCTGCTGAGTGCAGAACCTGACTTTGGGGCTCAGTCCCATGACCCACGAGATCATGACCTGAGCCAAAATCACAAGCCAGATGCTTAGCCAACTGAGCCTCCTTGGTGCCCCAAAATGGGCTTTCAGATGACCCAGAGGAACTGTGATCCATTTATGTTTCAACCCCTGGAGAACATGATTTAATACTGTTTGCTACTCTGTAGGTGTGTCTGTGGCAAGTTCACGTTCGATACTGTCTGGGGGTATATGTTCTAAAAGAATTGATCCCATCTGAAAGCTGTTTAAATCTACCTATAAAGTGGACTCTTAAGTTTGAGACTTTGAAATTGCATTTGCAATTGAGACACTTAGGAGGACTGCAGTCCTAGAAGGTCTTGTCTCTCATTTCAGGGTTCATGTATTTTCCAGCATCATGACATTTACCAGATTCCTCAAGGAGGAGTATTACTGCATTTCCTTTAGTCTTCTTAAATAATGGGATAATGAACTGGTTTTGTGTCTGGTTTATTGTTATGTATGCTGTTGTTATTGGTGGCTGTGTTCTACTTTTGATGTTTATCATGGTCTTTGAAATGGTAAGAAACAACGAGCAGATTTCTAGGTGTGTAAGGGTCTGCTTGTGCCTGGTAAATTTCATTTCATGTTAAAATTCCAAACTAGGTGTGAACATCCAAAGATATCATGACTTGTGACAACCTCTTTTCTACAAACTTCTGTTAAGCCACTATTACAAATTTTTCTTTCAACTATAGCTTCTGTTCAACTACCGCCTCTGTCAAAACTTAGGATTATCATAAAATTTGATTATTGATTTAATTAGCAATATTAAAAACTAGGTTTTAGGGATCCCTGGGTGGCGCAGCGGTTTGGCGCCTGCCTTTGGCCCAGGACGTGATCCTGGAGACCCGGGATCGAATCCCACGTCGGGCTCCCAGTGCATGGAGCCTGCTTCTCCCTCTGCCTGTGTCTCTGCCTCTCTCTCTCTCTCTCTCTCTCTCTCTCTCTCTCTCTCTGTGACTATCATAAATATAAATAAATAAATAAATAAAAACTAGGTTTTAGTTTTATTTTTTGCTATGATAAATCTAGCCATAGTTTACAGTTATACAATTTCAATGAACCAGTACAATTATTTAAGAATTATTAGTTTAAACCAGATTATCCACATTTACCCATTTATTTTTACCTCCAAAACAACAGTTATATACAGTTCAACCCAACACTGTTCATTGAGTTCTGGTGTTGTGAGAACTAGCAAGATAAGTAGTGATATTCCCTACCCCACCCCTAGGAGATTATGTTATCTGATACTCTACTAAGATTTGGTCATGTTTCTCATACTTTACCCCATTTGTTATGATAGAAAAGAATGCTAAATACTTTAGAGCATGAGGACAGTTCAGAGAAGATTATTTTTGACTAACTAGGAATTCACTGAAAAACTTTTCTTTTGTGGGCATTCTAGATTAAGATATTGGCAGTAGTTTAATAGGGGGCTATCATCTGAAATGCAGTTTGCCTTCATTCACTTAGCTTCTATTTACTGAGCACCTACTGAATGATAGACATTATGCTAGGCTCAGGGACATAGTATGAGCAAAATTTTCATGAAACCTACCCTCACAGAGCTTATATTTTAGTGGAAGGATGTGCACGTTGATCGTGTGTGTATGCGACAGCTCTGACAAAGGCTCCAACAGAATCTGTCCCAGCTGTTTTCTGTGTGTGTGCGTGTATGTGTAGAAAGAGGGCCAAAATGTATCTTTTCTTTCATGACTGTTCCTGTAAAATTTCATGAAGAAATTTCCATATTGACTGTCATTATCCCCCCCCCTTTTTTTAAGTAGGCTCCACACCCAGCATGGTGTCCAATGCAGGGCTTGAACTCACAACCCTGAGATCAAGACCTGAGCTATCAAGAGTTGTACACTTAACCAATAGAACCACCCAGGCACCCCTGTCATTATTATTAATCTTATCACAGTAGTCTATTATATTTAACCACTTACCTTGCTTTGGTTTTGCCCCTGTTATAAATAATACTCAGAAAATTTGGTTGAGGAGCGTATTAGTTAGCGTAGGCTGACAATAAAGGCCCAATACATAACTTTAAACCCAGAAGTATCGATTTTTCACGCACTGCCCATGGTGCCCTGCAGCCCAGATATGGCTAATGTTAGCTGTGGCCCCTTCCAGCCTGAGGCCTCAGAGGTAAACAAATTTTGTAAACCAAGTCATTGTTGGTCTTGGTCATTACACTAGTAGTACCTGCAGAAAGTAGGGGCTGAGGCTCTATGGCCAGATTTGTTTGTTTCCAGTCAGCTCTAAAGAACCACAGCCAAAGTGTTCTTTGTCTTTAGCATAGTTCCTTGGCCTGTTTTATTTATTGTTTTCTTATCTTTGTGCCCCTCTCTTAAGGTCTTACATAGGACTTCCTTGAATCTATGGGCTTAGTGGGAAGGGAGCACCTGTAGTCTGATGTTTGCATAATGCTTAGTTTCCTCTTAAGGGCTTACTGGGAAGACCTTGAAATTTAAGGCAGAGGTACAGACCCACCACCTGTTTATGTACATCCATAAGTTAAGAATAGGTTTTACCTTTTTTAATCACTGGTAGGAAAAAAGCAGTTCATGACACAAAAATCATGTGAAGTTGAAGTTTCATTGTCTATAAATAAATTTTTGGAACATAGACACACCACTTTTGTGGCACTACAGAAGAATTAATAAGTTATTGCAACAGATCACATAGTTCACTAAGTCTAAAATATTTATAATCTAGGCTATTACAGAGAAGTGTGTTGAATCGCTAATTTAAAATGTTCAGACTTATCTTTTGTCATTTGAGGGATAGAAGCCATTGAGCTCTCTAGTCTTATGAGGCCCTATCACTTTGCCTATTCCTTTTATAATTGCCTGCAAAAAACAAGCTGATTGTTTCCAGAGTTGTTCTCTCACAAAACATTGCTGAAAACAGTCATCTGTCTCTTTGCATAGAGCTTCTTCCCATGGAGTTTCTGGCTACAGTAGGACTGTGTTCTGCCTTCTGAGCTGTTGTATGCTTGATTTCCCTGTATCTTATGCCACAACATGACCAAGGCTTTCCAGCCTGCAACTTGTTTTCTCTTCACTTGACTGTTAATTCAGCACCACACAATTTAAACTGAAGGCAGCACCCTTATTCTAGATGACATTTAAGGTATTTATGAGTAAAGTCTATGCTGCTGTAGCAACCTATAGATCTAAAATGCAATAGGGCTTTGTATGCCATCATATTCATGTAACCATCCAGTGTAGCTATTCTGGTTTGGCAGCAGTGGGTGCTTGGTGGTTGAAGTACATTCTGCCCTTTGTAGTTTCTTAGGAACCAGGTGGAGAGCAATTGTGCCATTTTCAGTTTGTGGCTGCTGCTGTTGCTCCAGACTTGGTCATTACCATTGTGGCTCCTGGGAAGGGAAGAGGCCTGGAATGAGATACACAGTCAGATGGATGGGCCAAGTCTGGAGAGGCCCAGAGCATGCCTCTTTACGTTTGGTTGCAAATAACAGGTCACAGCTGCCTGGAATTACAGTGGGGGCTGGGGTAGGTATAGCTGGGCCTTTGCTCCCAGGGAAGAGAGGAAGAGATTCCGATGGATGGTCAGTATTCTGCCATCAAGCTTCTGGATGTGCATGCTTCTGGTTTTCCCCAAAGGAAGGAGGCCAAGTTGTGAAAGGTGTGCTGTGGAAATAGGTTTATCTGTAAAAATAATACCTCTGCAAATGTAGTTCTTAAATATAGCTCTTCAGAGAAGTAGTTTGAATAAAACATGTGTGTGTATTTCAGGCCATCGCACATTATGAACAATCAGCTGATTATTACAAAGGGGAAGAATCCAACAGGCAAGTGCTATTTTTTTTAATAAAATTAAATGAGTTTTGTTATGTGCAATAAGAGACAAATCTTTATGAGCATATTGGGCTATACCAAATGAAGATGTAATGGGATACCTTTTCATTTTTCTGTTGGATTGTTACTCACTCTGCTCTGGTTCTTGATTTCAGTTCGGCTAACAAGTGTCTGCTCAAAGTGGCAGCGTATGCTGCCCAGCTGGAGCAGTACCAGAAAGCCATCGAGATCTACGAGCAGGTGAGGCTGCTTGCCAACTTCTAGCAGAAGTCACTCTGAATCTTTTTTTTTTAATTAAACTTTTTATTTAATTTTACTTTTTATCGGGGGAGATACATAATCTATACCTATATATCTATATCTTAAAGAATACAACAGTGGATTTTAGTATATTTACAAAATTGTGTAACCTTCCCAAGAACCTAATTCCAAGACATTATCCACCAAAAGACATCCTATTCCCCCCTCCTCCTAGTCTCTGGAAACCACTATCTACTTTCTGTCTCAATGGTTTTGTTTATTCTAGGCTTTCTAGGATAGGTGGCCTTTTGTGACTGGCTCCTTTCACGTAGCATAGTTTTCTCAAGGTTCATTTTTGTTTTAGCATGTAATGATACTTCATTTCTTTTCATAGCTAAGTAATATTCCACAGTTTGTTTACCTGTTGATCAGTGAATGTGTATCATTTGAGGTTTCTTAACTTTTGAACTATTATGAATAATGTTCATGGTTTTAGGAGAGGAGGCTTGCCATTGTCTTGGTTATATATCTAGGATAGGGATTACTGGTTTATTTGGCAAGTCTCTTGTTAACTATTTGAGAAACCGCCAGACTCCTACAGTAGCTGCATTTCACATTCCCACCAGTGTTGTGCAGGGGCTCCAGTTGCTCCACATCCTCATCAGTACTTTCTGTTTTCTGATATGTTTTTGTTTTTTGATAATACTAATGAGCATGGAGTGATACTCATTGTGGTTTTGATTTCTGTTACATCTGATTGCCCTCATGGTTAGTATGTTGAGATCCTTTTCATGTACTCATTAGCCATTTGTATATCTTCATTGGAGAAATGTTGGTTTAATTTCTTTACCCATTTTTGAATTGAGTGTTTTTTATTACTGGATTTTAGAAATTCTTATTTCTAAGAATTTGGAAATTCTTATTTAGATATTCATATTTTATTTATATTTATATATTAACTCATTTTAAACAATTTATTCATCCCTTATCAAATATATAATTTGTACATATTTTCTCCCATTATGTGGGTTGCTTTTTTATTCTGTTATTGATACCCTTTAACATGAAATCTTAAATGAGTTTTATAGTTGTAGCTCTTAGGTTTAGGTCTTTGATTCATTTTGAGTTAATTTTTGTATACAGTGTTAGGTAAGGATCCAACTTCATTCTTTTGCTTGTTGCTATACAGTTTTCCCAGCGCTTTTTGTTGAATACACTATCCTTTTGCCATTGAATGGTCTTGGCCCCCTCAATGGAAATTGACTGATAATCTGTTTGACCCTCTGTTCTGTCCCATTTGTCTTACATGTCTGTCTTTATGCCAGTATCACACTGTTTTAATTATGTAGCTTTGTTTTGAAATCAGTTACTATGAGTCTTCCAACTTTGATCTTTTTTTTTTTCAAGATTGTTTGGCTATTCTGGGACTCTTCATCTTCATCTTCATATGAATTTAGGATCAATTTGTCAGTCTGTGCTAAGAAGCCAGCTGGAATTTGATGGGAATTCTTTTGAATCCATAGACTAGTTTGGAAAGTGTTGACATCTTAACATTGTTAAATCTTCCAAACTGTGAACTGAGGGTGCCTTTGCATTTATTTAGATCTTTCTAATTTTGTTCAGTAATATGTTAAAGTTTTAGTGTGTAAGCCTTGCACTTCTTTGGTTAAATATACTCCTAAGTATTTTGTTCTTTTTGATGCTGTGGTAAATGGAGTTTTCTCACTTTCCTCTTCACTTTGTTAATTGCTAGTTTTATACACGAGAACCTTGCTGAAATTAGCTAGAATGGGTTTGGGAGTTTTTTGTTTGTTTTTTGGGGGTTTTTTTGATTCCTTAAGATTTTGTACAAAATCATGTAATTGTGTCATATGCAGATGGCTAAACTTCTCCAATTTCGATCTTTTTTATTTCATTTACTTGTTATTTGCCCTGACCAGACCTTCTAGAACAGTGGTAAATAGAAGTAGCAAGAGCACATATCCTTGTCTTGTTCACATCTTAGAAAGCTTTCAGTTTTTCCTCATTAAATAGGATGTTAGCCTTAGGTCTTCTGTGGATACGCTTTATCAGTTTGAGGGAATACCCTTCTCTTCCTTTATTAAGTGTTTTTATCCTAAAAGCATATTGGGTTTTGTCAAGTACTTCTCTCTGCACCTGTTGAGATGATCGTATGGTTTTTGTTCTTTATTAATATGTGGTATTTCATTGATTGATTTTCATATTTGAGCCAACCTTACATTCCTGAGATAAATCCTTCTTGATTATTGTGAAGTTTGGGGATCTTCAAGAGCACCTTCTGGTTTGATAATTCTCTAGAAACACTCACAGGACTCAGTGAAAGCTGTTATACCACAGTTATAGTTTATTATACCAAAGAATACAGATTAAAATCAGCAAAAGGAAGAGGTGCTTGGGACAGGATCCAGTAGAACTTCCTTTTGTCCTTCCAGTGGAGTTCTACAGATAGCTCTTATTTCTCCAAACAATGATGTGTGATGAAAATATGCATGGAATATTGCCAACAGGGGAAGAAGTTCACCTGTACTGGGTTTCTAGAATTTTTATGTCTCAGTCACAGACATAGCTGATCTTATTCTCTAGTCCCTCCATAGGTTGTGCTGAAGCACGTTGTCAGAGACACCCAGGTAAACAAAAACACTCTTTCAGGCAGGATATTCCAAGCTTAGAGATGACCACCATGGCCCCTGCCCCGCCCCCCCAGGAGCCACAGACAAAGACAAGACCTCACTTTGGAGAAAATTAATCCTGTATTGTATAGTCATGATGTGTAGTCCTTTTTATAAGTCACAGTTTGTTTACTAGTATTTTGTGGAGGATTTTCAGTCTGTAGTCATAAGGATATTTATATTTAATTTTCTTTTTAAGGATATTTAATTTTCTTGTAGATCTTTGGTTTTGGTAGCAAGGCAATATTGGGTTTATGGAATGAGTTGGGAAGTAATCCCTTCTCATTGGAAGAATTCATGAACAATTGGTGTTCATTCTTTAAACATTTGGTAGAATTCAATGATTTTTTTCTGTTTTCCTGTTTTTGGTTTCATTGATTTCTAATATTATTTCATCCTTCTTTCTTTAGATTTATTTTACACTTCTTTTTTTAGAGAATTGAGACAGAAACTGAGCTTATGGATTTTCCTCTGTTGTATATGCATGTTTAGTGCTATCAGTTCCCCTCTAAACATGGCTTTGACTATGTCTCACTATTTTGTTATTTTATTTATTTCATTGTATTTATTGATTTCTGTGAGTTATTTAGATGTGCTTTGGTTAACTACCAAGTGTTTGGAGATTTTCCTGTTTATCTTTCTGTTGTTGATTTCTGGTTTGATTCCATCATGGCTGGAGAACATACTCTGGGTGATTGATTTCAATTCTTAGCAATTTTTTATAGTTATTTTATGGCCCAGAATATGGCCTGACATGGCATTTGTTCTGTGGGTCTGCTGTTGCTTGGTGACATGTTCTGTAGTGTGAATTAGATCTTGGTTGACTGCATTATTGAGTTCTATATTACTTACTGATTTTCTATCTATATCCATTGTTGAGACTGGAGTGGATTTGTCTCTCATTATCAGTCTTTGCTTCACGTATTTTGCAGCTCAGTTGTTTGCTGCATATATATTTAGGATTGCCATGTCTTTTTGGTGAGTTGGCGCTTTTATCATTTTATAACATCCCCCACTGTCTCTATTAGTTCTCTCTTTTCTGAAGTCTACTTTATCTGATATTAGTATAGCTTCTTTTGCTTCTTTTTGATTAATATTTATATGATATATCTTTTCCCATCCCTTTTCTTTGAACCTGCCTATATCACTGTAATTGAAGTGAGTTTCTTATGGACAGCATATAGCTCTGTGTCATAATTTTTTTAAATCCATTCTCCCAATCTCTGTCTCTTAATTGGTATATTTAGAACATTCACATTTAATGTAATTATTGATATATTAAGGCTTAAGTCTGCTGTTTTATTTATTGTTTTCTGTTTGTTTTGTTTTTTTATTTTTCTGTTTTCTTTTTCCTGCCTTATATAGTGGGTTGCTTGATTATCTGTACTGTTTTCAAGTAAGTGCCTTTGATTAGCTGTTTTTAGTTGCTCTGGGTGTAACTAGTACATGATTTATCACAAGCTGATGTGTTACTTTATTGTTTTGAGTGAAATATAGAAGTCTACTGTATGCCCCTTTGTCCTCCTCATTCAGTATATATAATTGTTTTCTCTACATACTTTGAGAACCACATCTATGATAAATTTTAATTTCAGTCTTCCAACATAATGTAGAAAACACAAGGAGAAAAAGCCCATTGTGTTTACCCATGTTTTGCTTATTGTATTCTTTCTTTCTCCTGATGATCCAAGATTACTTCTTTCATTATTTCCTTTCCATTTAGAGAACATTCCTTTGCCATTCTTTTAGGGCAGATTTCACTGGTGACAAATTCTGTATGTTCCTTTATCTGGTAGTGTTTTGATATCCTTCATTTCTGAAGCTTATTTTCCTAGGGTATATAGCTCTAGGTTGACGATTATTTTCTATTAGCACTTGAAAAATGCATCACTTAGGACCTCAGTGGCTTCTGATGAGAAGTCTACTGTCATTCAAGTTGTTTTCCTCCTGTAGGTAAAGTGCCATTTTTTTTCTGGCCACTTTAAAGTTTTTTCCTTAACTTAAGTTTTTCAGAAGTTTATGTGGCTTGACCTGGGTATCTTTGCTTAGGTTTCACTAAACTTCTTGAATCTATAGGTTTATCTTTCTTGACAAATTTAGGAAGTCTTCAGCCATTATTTCTTCAAGTACATTTTCAGCCCTTCTCTCTGTCCTCCCCTCCCAGGTCTTAGACAACTTGAATGTTAGACCTTATTTTACAGTTATATAGGTCCTTCATGCTGTCTGTTCATTTGTTGTTGCTGCTGCTGTTGTTGTTTTCAGTCTATTGTCACCTCTGTTATTCAGACTGAGTAATTTCTAAAGTTCTGTCATCAGTGATGACTGAATCTTTCCTCTCTCCTGCCTGTTGTGCTATTGAACCCATCTACTTTTTATGCTGATTAGTGTGGGTTTTTTTTTATTATTGTGTTTTTTAGTTTTGAAGTTTCCATTTGTGGGGCACCTGGGTGGCTCAGTTGGTTAAGCATCTGCCCTCAGCTCAGGCAATGATCTCTGGGTCCTGGGATTGAATCCCAAGTTGGCCTCCCTGCTCAGCAGAGAGTCTGCTTCTGCTTCTGCCTCTGCCTCTTCCTCTCCCCTTGCTTGTTCTCTCTTTCTCTCAAATAAATAACATCTGAAATGTCCATTTGTTTCTTTTTCATATCTTACGGGGTTTTCATGCTGGAAATTTTTTTGTTGATGCTTTGTTTTTTCTTTAGTTTAAAGCATTTTTATAATTGCTTGTTGGAGCATTTTTATGAGGGCTCCTTTAAAATCATTATTCTGTAATCTTAACATTTCTGTCACTTCAGAGCTGTCATCTGTTGGTAGTTTTCATTCAGCTTAAGATCTCCTTTCTTGATGTTGTGAGTCTATGATACTGAGTTTAAAGGATAGATTGATACCTAAACTCATGTAAGATACACAAATATTTTCTAAAGGACAGACAAGGATCAGTTTGCCTACTATAAGAAGGCAAACCTTTGAAATCTAATTCTGCTTTCTGTGCCTAGGTTGGGGCAAACACCATGGATAATCCTTTGTTGAAGTACAGTGCAAAGGACTACTTTTTTAAAGCAGCCCTCTGTCACTTCATAGTAGATGAGCTGAATGCCAAGGTAAGGAGTCTGGCAGCACTTTACTCATGAGAACAGGCCTCAGTCCACTGTCATTCATGATATACTTTGTCGGGTGATACTGGTTATAAGCAAGATCAAACTGTGTGCATTAATAATAATACTAACAGTAACACTATGCTGTGCATCCCAGCTGTAATCTTGAAACAGCTGCCGAAATGGTGGCTGTATTCCCTTCAGTAGTTTTGCTTTACTGAAATTAGGGGGCAGGGGCTCCTGGATGGCACAGTTGGTTAAGCATCGGACTCTTAGTTTCAGCTCAGGGTCCTGAGATTGAGCCCTGTGTCAGGCTCCATACTTAGCGGGGAGTCTGCTGGAGATCCTCTCCCTCTGCCCCTCCTGTTCCTGCTCTCGCTCTTAAATAGATAAATCTAAGAAAAGAAAGAGAGAGAGAGAGAGAGAGAGAGAGAGAGAGAGAGAAAGAAAGAAAGAAAGAAAGAAAGAAAGAAAGAAAGAAAGAAAGAAAGAAAGAAAGAAAGAAAGAAAAGAAAAGGAACAAAGAGGGAGACAAAATAGAATAACATCCTTTGTTTCAAACTCCAAAATCAAGTAGGAAGACAGGAGGCAAGGACTTGGGCAGCCTTGCTTTCATCACATCTGTGGCTGGGAGAGTGGAAGTAAAGTTGCCGAGGGAAAGGTGTCCTTCCCTCCAAGCCTCGAGCAGAGCTCTCACTGGGATTTATGTGGGATCTGGACAGCGTTAAGGAAGAGCTTCTCTATGTAGTGGATGGAAACAGACATCTGGTCTTTGAGTTTTTACAAATTAGATTGGGTCCACATTATCTTCTCTACAGCAACCTAATTCAGAAAAATTGGTTTGAAAATTTATTCTTAATTGAAGTTGGTAGTTCAAATTGAATAGAGTTTCCTGTGTCGATTTTGATGTTTTTTTTTTTTTGATGTTGAGTTTAATAGCATACTTCTACATTTAAATAGGCTGCAGATAAATCTTACTGTAGTAAGATGTTCAGATAAAAAGGGCTTTATGTCCTGATTTAGTGAGTGAGATACTAACAACTGGCTTTTCTCTTTCAGCTTGCTCTTGAGAAATATGAGGAAATGTTTCCAGCATTTACTGATTCAAGAGAATGTAAGTTATTGAAAGTAAGTAACATCACAGCTTTGAAGAAGAAAAAATCCTTTGCTGTAAGGTGGGATTGGGCCTAAAGTGAAGCTCTGACTCTCTGAGGAGCACTGGTACTCTCCTGCTTTTGTGTAATAGGTCTTAGATGCCAACAGAGTCAAGGACATAAGCACTGTGTTCTAAACCAAGCAGCTCAGAAATGTTAGCACAGAAACTAGGTCCCTGACTTGGGGTAACTCGTGGCTTAGATTTGAGTACTTTCTCTATTCTAGAAGGTGTTTAGCAGTGTTAGTTATTGTGATACTAAGGCTATTTCTTGATTTAAAGTATCTATTTGTAGCTGAAACTTTTTAGCTTAACAAACTAATTTGTCCATACTTATGCTACCAGAAACTTCTAGAAGCTCACGAAGAACAGAACAGTGAAGCTTATACTGAAGCAGTAAGTTTTGCATTCGGGATATAGTACATTGATTAAAATTTAAATTACAGAAACATCTTTTCATTGTATGAGTGCTGAACATTTATTTGAACATTTTTCTAGTATACCTAAGTTTTATTTTTCCAAAAGCCATATTTTATATATCCCACAAACCTTTACAATAATTTAGTTCCATTAGCCATGATGAATTTAACTGAAAGACAAGTTTGAGAGAGAATATTACATACTGTTACAATTTGCTGTTTGAATGTTTTCTTTTGAAAATAATTTGATCCGTAAATAAGTGTAAAGTAAAATCAGTTAAATGCAACTTAACATATAAAAACAGTTTGCTATATTCTTGGAATAAAAGAAATGTGGAAGAAATGTGGAAGACTTTTTTATATTCGTTCGTTAGTTTTGTTTTCCCCTATTTGCCTTCTTATGTTTAGAATCAGGCGATTACTCAGTATCCTCCATTATTCATCATGGCTTTGAAGCAGTAGTGGAAAGGAATGATGTTTCCCCCTTTGACTTTCGCTACCAAACTATTCACATCCTATTCAAATATCATTCTTTGTAACGCATTGAAATGAGTTAAAGGGATTCCACTATCACACATCCTGTCTCTGCACCGTAATGTTTCATGTTCCCTTATACAGCCTCTCATTTCCTTTATCACATTAAGTATAAAGGTCCAATTATAAAGGTGGTTAGGAGCTCAGCATGTTAGCATTGGAGTGGTTTAAAAGAACAGGAACTTGTCACTAGCTCCATCAAAATAGTCACAAAACAAACCATTTTATTTTATTTTATTTTATTTTATTATTATTTTATTTTATTTTATTTTTTATTTTTTTATTTATTTTATTTTATTTATTTTATTTATTTTATTTTATTATTTTATTTTATTATTTATTTATTTTATTTATTTTATTTTATTTTATTTATTTTATTTATTTTATTTTATTTTATTTTATTTTATTTTATTTTATTTTATTTTATTTTAAGATTTTATTTATTTATTCATGAGACAGAGAGGCCAGAGACACAGAGAGAGAAGCAGGCTCCATGCAGGGAGCCCGATGTGGGACTCGAGCCCAGGACTCCAGGATTACTCCCTAGGCCGAAGGCAGGTGCTCAACCGCTGAGCCATCCAGGTGTCCCAAAACAAACCATTTTAATGAAGAAAGTTTTAAACTGGAATGAATGATTTAAATGAAGACAGTTGGAGGATTAGCACTAGAAATGTTTAAACAACTTGGGGTGTTGTTTTTTGTGTTTTATTTCCATGCACTAATTCTTGTCTTTTTTTCAACTAGGTGAAGGAATTTGACTCAATATCTCGCTTGGATCAATGGCTCACAACCATGTTGCTTCGTATCAAAAAGTCCATCCAAGGGGATGGAGAAGGAGATGGGGACCTAAAGTGAACATTTGTGTCTTTGTGGCATGCAGCTGACTCCTCTTTAGTTCATGTTAGGGCCACATGGTCTTTATGGGATGCCCATTTAATGGCTTAATTCTCTTGCACATGAGCCAAACCATCTGTGTGTTTAAGCTCCCTGTGTTTGTGTCTTTGTGAAAACGGATGGCTGGGAAGCTCCTGTGCACAATGTGGGTGTGATGGGCTATTTCATGCTTGTCAGAGTCCCCAGAGTTTTCAGAGAATTACTTCAGACTCTTATTCTTGTTATTTTCATATTTGCAGAGCCTGTGTTTAACTTGGTCACATATTTTTGTCATTTTCTGGGACTGGAGTACCCTCCTAATAATTGTTGTAATAGATGCTTTGCATATTTTCCATTTATGGAAAATAGATTTTGCACCTGGATGTTTTCTCTAAGTGTATGTGTTTAGTTCAGGGTGATTGTTAGGAATGAGTTTTATGATTTCACTTACCAGAACTGGTTTATTTTGTTGTTATCGTGATTCTTTTGATGGTGCTAGTGACCTATTTGTTTGCTTTTTATATTGTTGTGTATGCGGATGTGCATGCGAAAGTTCAGAACAGCTGGGGTCTGCCAGCATCACTTGCTTAATGTTGTGAGAACAGGGAGCTTCCTGGCAGGGCTTGCTGATGTGTGTGGGCAGATGTTAGGATGAGTCTGATGGATGTGTACTCCTTAACACACATGAAATCCATATGAAACAGAATTTCTCCTTTTCCTGGAGAGTTTCCACTTCTAGTTGGGGTGGAACCCTTTCTTTTTATTCACATAAAAGTGATGTGACTGCATGTCCCTTTTGTTTACTTTCATGTTCATGCACTTACCCACATTGAGACGGTGCCTGCTGTGCCACTGCCGTGTGAGTCCTCCTCCTGGCCACAGACAGAATGGGTCATTGATTTTACCCATATACTAAAAGGGGTAAATATGGGACAGAGGTTTACCATGTGTCCAGTTGGAGAAGAAAGGCAACTATCTTCTGAGGAAGTTTGACTTTGCTCTCGGCTAATGGCTTTGTTTTGGCTTGTATGTTTGAATTCAGTTGTGTCATTTTGATTTACATAACATACTCTGTTGATTTACGAACTTACATGCTGACACTGCTCTAGACATGGTCATGCATTTGTTGCCAGACCTAGCTTGTGGGTCTAAGTTATGCTGCTGTCATTAAAGACAGATAATGAATTTTTCCATGTTAGGTCAGATGGAAACTGGCATTTGAAGGGTGTGTTTTCATTTTTTGATGTTCCTCCGTTGGGATTGGTAGGCTTTTGTTGGTCAGAAGTAGAGAGTGTGGCCAGGAAAAGGGCTGAGTGTGGAGGATAGTGAGTGTGGGGATAGTGAGCAGATTGGGCTGAGACGATGGAGAAAGTAATAAAGTGGCTGGAAAGGGCCAGCTGACGCCTGGTAGGGGGATTGTCCCTCCGGTGTGCTGGTGGGGTCATGTGCCAATGTAGCCTGCTGGAAAAGGTCAGAAATATCAGAGTGGGCCAAAATACCACTCTGGCCTTGGGTGCTGGGATCTGGTGAGTGTCCTGCCATTCCTTCAAAGGTCTGGGAGTTAGGAGAAAGCTGGCTGTCACGGTACAATTTGGAATGCAGTCCGTTTGGTACTTCCCCACTTCCTGTCAGAATCTCTTAGGAAGAAATGATTAGAGCAGAAAGTGAGTTCCTTTGCCTAACCTGTTCCACAGCCCGCCAAGTGCACTTTCATGAAAGTGAAGTATGGAGAGTACCTTCATAGCCTGTGTCCTCAGGTTGTAAGTCTGTCCCATCTGGAGAGTGTTTAAATCCTAGCCTGCCAGCACGCTTGTTTCATCATTAGTGTGCAATGTTTGTTTTCACTTGTTAAAAGGACCTTCTGGTCTGACCACATAAAATGAGAGCCAAATGAGTTCTCTTCAGGCAATTCCTCAAACTTTCATTGTGGTCCCATCAGCCCTGTCTGAGAAAGAGGAGTGGTTTGTAAAAACAGGACTGGTACCATTTTGTTATGTCATTTGGAGAGTTGCCTGCTTGTATTGACATAAACACTGGGATCAGTGGCTGAGTTAAGGATTTTTCTTTTTTTTTAATAGTTTACATGAAAAGAGTAAAAATAATTGTAATGGCTAGAACAGAACTGCCAGAAGAGAAAAATGAGGAAAGGTCCCATCAACATAGGGTACTACCAGGACTCTTAGGTTTCAGGAGTTACAGAATGTTCTTTATGAATAAAATGTAATGACTATTTATGTTCGGTTCTTGTACTTTTAGCAGATCTGGGGTTAGTTCATAGTCAAAGTCAGTTAAAATTTCTTACAGGAAAGCTTTGCTTTTTGTGGCAACATTTTTATAGCTTGTGTGAGTTCCTTTTTTATTTAATGATTTGAGAACAGTATTTTTGCACAGTTGTGACCATGTGTGGTGACATCCCTGTAACCAAGGTGTGTGCATTTGTTTCTTCTGATAATGTGCATTTAAAATGTCCAAATGCAAATCATCATGGCTTCCTTCAGAGGACCTGGCAGCACAGCATGCCGCCTGCGTCCCACCTGCCTGCAGTGTGAGCTGTGGCCAAGGGCAGGCTTCCGCCTGCCAAGTGCTGTGTCGGGCTCTGCGGGGTGTCCTCCCCTGTGCTCTCGGTGGAGGATTATGTTATGAAAACTAACCACGTGATGATCACTCTCCCTTAGCAGAAAGAGTATGTTTTATGTCACCCTGTACAGAAAATAAAGTGGAAATTATGAATCCTATTTTGATGGGTCTTTCCTACGCAAATTTACACAAATCAAAAGTATTTTCCTTTCCTTGAAGTTGTTGCAGTTAGTTAAGGCAGTGGACATTGACATTCTCCAGGCTCTCGGAATATCCATCCAGATGTGCGTTTGGCTGCGTCACAACCTCCATCCCTTGGTGGGGATTCTGGGCACTGTAGCACATCTGCCAGCAGAGTTTATGAGGAAGGCCTGCTTCCAGCCTCTAGGGGCAGTCCCTTCTGGCCACCCTTGGCAAGGACTCACTAGCATCCCTTAGGCCAGTCACCTGCCAAGTGCAGTGAGGTGGGTTCCTAAAAGATTGTTGGGTGGGGGAGGTGAGAACCCTGAAGCCCCTAGATCTGTTTGCAATGTGGGTGTACCTGTCATTTTGCAGATGTCTGTACAGGATGACACGAGCCCCTGGGAAGGAAGAGGATGCAGTTTGGGGCCAGGGCTAGTGAAGGCCAGCTCCTCCCCTCCGAGAACAGTGGTCAAGTCCATAACTATATTCACAACAGCTTAAAGATAATTCAAAGCAAATCTTAAAAAAATGAGTGGTAGACCAGGTAGGCATTCTGAGAAGTTGATCATTCTAGTTTAATTCACAAATGTCTTTTCTCAGAATTCTTTCCTAATGGAAGCTATCGTAGTGGTTTAAAAACCGGATTTTGCCAGCCACAGTAAAGGTCCCTATATAGACTGGCAGAGGTAAGTGGGTGGTTTCTGGGGCTCAGTTATATGCAGCCACCTTGGTACAGGTGAATACATGGCCACTTGCATGAGTGTCCCAGGCCCCATACTCCCCACCAGAATAATACTGGTTATTTCAAGTAACGTGAACACCTATCAAGTTAAATAGACAAGCACTCATTTGGCCTGAAAAAAACGTCCCTGGTGTGGCAAGGCATAAAATTTAACAGGTCTAGGGTGCCTGGGTGGCTCAGTTGGTTAAGCGTCTGCCTTCAGCTCAGGTCCCAGGATGGAGTCCTGCATTGGGCTCCCTATTCAGCGGGGAGTCTCCCTCTCCATCTGCTCCTCACCCCATTTGTGTTCTCTTTAAAATCTTAAAAAAAAAAAATCAACAGGTTAGAATTACACTCAAATTAGTTGGTTTGGATTATCACCTACAGCAAAACCACATTTCTATTAAAGTCAATTAGTATGATTGTCTTCCCCACCCATAACCACCACCACATGGCTTTTTCAAATTCTGTACAACAAATTTTGGTAAAACCAAAGGTAGCTGAGTGGGTGCCAAGAGCATTTCCCACAAGACATTTGGAAGGCACTAAATCACCCCCTCAGTCGCCTTTCATGATGCTCTGGGAGGAACAGCCCCCACACCCCGGGGAACCCTGATCACACTCTGGGATCTGCATACTCAGGGTGGAGAACCTTGCTTTCTCTCAGCAAGGCTGGACTTGGATTACGAGAAATTGCTACACACCCACAACTCCCTCTGTGCTGGGTCTTCGGGGTTTTTACATTTCTCTGCTCTCAGGGGTAGTCTCACCTTCCTGGGAGGGACAGAAAAATGGGTCTAGCTGGAGACAGGCCCGTGGAGACTGTCCCATCACACTGAAGAGGCCTCCAGGCGGCCAGCGTGGCACCGAGCCTATGCAGCTTACTACCCCAGCAGGCAGAGGCCCGTGTCCCTCACCAGCAGGCTTTCCCATCTACAGTCAAGATGCAGTCCAAATAGTTATGTAAACAATCCCAAGGCTATAGATCCTGATTTTAAATTTCACTACCCATGAAACAAAAAATTATACTTGCTCCAATTAAGAATCTTACTTCTACCGAGCCTCAATTCTAACAGAAGTAAACTTTAGACTGGAAAAACTTTTTAGAAAGCAAACATTTATTAACACATTAAATGATTTTTCGTAGAATTTCTAAAGAAACAAATTCAAGACAAATTCTTCGAGTAGGTAACAAAATAATCTATTTAAATTCCTTCTCATTAAGATGACTTTACTCCATGAAACAATACATCCGCTGGGCAGGCTCATTCTCTCACGAAGAGTGAAATGGTTGTGTGACAGTTTTGTTGTTCTGTAAACACAACCAGAGTATGCTGTCATGGTTGAAAATTCAGTACTGCCATCTTCAAGAGCAAGTGTGAAACAGGTTATCAGCACCTAAAACATCTCAGAGTGGCTTTACTATTAATGTAACATGTTACGAGTTAGAAAATAAGCATTGAGGGAAAAGCCTTCCCACGTTAGTTTCTGACATAGTGCAGCTGCATCTTCATCCTGGACCTCAGGATAAAGTACGTTCCTCTTAGAAAGTGAGTGTGTTTTCACAGCAAGTTCAATAAATTAAAACGTAAGAAAAATAGCAACTAGTGAACAAAAGAATTCTTCACGGTTCTCTCTTTAATGTGTTGAGGGTTACATGTGAGTCAAAGCACTTATTAGCATGCGGTAACACACCCGAGCCACTGGAAGCAGGATTCAGGCTTAGCAAATACAGCGGAACTACACTGCAAATTCATTTTAAGCAGAAGGCCAGCAGGGGCCAGCCACACGAGCACTGGAGACAGTCAGTGGTTCTTCACAATCCGCTCTTAAGGCATCATCAAAGACGAGTTCCCTTCCGCTTACATGCTCATGTTTCCAAGGAAATAGATGTGTGGAAATTACTTGCCCGTTTCAAGCTCCTGATGCGTAGATGAGAAATTCTGGGTTTTTGAAAATCACAGAGTAAGTCAGGAAAACCCAGCCAAAAATGCTAACACTGTGTTCTAAGATTTGTCAGATCACCCCACTGCTACTGGTGAATAAAAGGACTCCACAGTGTTTTGAGTGTTCAAAACCTCTTGCTTCACTTTTCGTATCTGCAAAAACTACGACACCATTTGCTGCTAGAATCTTTGGTAGGACAGCTTGTACCTAATCAGACTTTAGGAATGAAACCCAACTTCATTTCAGCAGTGATTCCATGGCCAGCTTCCTAGCTGTGAAGACTAAGCCATTTTCAAGTGTTCGAATCTGTCACTCCTGTTTTAGTGCCTACAGACAGGAGGCGAAGGGGAATAAATGCAACCATCCATTTCTTCAATCCAACTCAAGGTCCCCAGAGCGAATCGGACTTGCTTCAGTTCAAGAGGAAAGAGCTGAAATACATGGTCCCAGTTTTACTTCAGCTTGGTAGAAAAATAGCTTAAAAGTATCAGGGAAATAAACCCACACGGAAGGGTAAGGCAGGCTGTGACCAGGGAGATTGCTAACAGTAACTGGGCCAGGACTCTGTATTCTACAATTATGTAGTTGCCCAAACTTCATACCCGTCAAGACATGCGTTACGGTTTCACATCTGACCTGCACCAGGATTCAGTGAGGTCATGTTAATAACTGCCTTGTTTGTTGATCAAGTGTAGCTGAGATCATGCGGACTGGGATTTTTAAGGGGAAGCTCTAAAAACGCTTTGAGAAAGACGTGCAAGTTAGCAGAGATTCAGGAAAATGTGCACAAGGTATTCTTGTCCACTCTGTCCACAGACAGATCTTGGCCCCTGGTGTTAATCCACGTACAGCAATCACCCATGCTGAGATGCAGCGTAGCATCTGCCTGGCAGGTAAGTAAGCGCTCATTCCATGTTGGTCAGCGAGTGAAGCTGTGTGGGCATCGGGTCTGTCTGTGGAGTCAGCTCGCTAAGCTCACTGATGGTAGTGGCCAGCAACGTTTCCTGAGACCCCACACAACGGTCTGACTTGTAGGCTGTATCTGCAGAATTGTTCTCGTGCACTGTAGGTATGCTGCCTTGGACTGTGCCTAGGTTGTGAAAATGGCCATTTTCTGCAAAAGACAGCAATTTATCCGAAAGTTTGGGTGGCGTATATTCTTCATCCGGCTGCTCAGTCTTGTGCGTGTCATCATTCTTGGGTGAGCCATCTACAATGACAAGGAAAGACTTCCATGGAGTATTCTTATCATGTATCTACGAATCAAACACAAAACATAAGTCACAGCGTATCTCTGAACAAGTACATCTTTTAAAACAATGGTTTCTTTTCAACTTAAATTTAGTTTCTACTGTAGCAAAATACCCTTTCACTAATGGCCAAACCTCTACCACCACTGTCACCATTAAGAAGCACTTATCATAGATTGTGCCTCTGGGACCCAGACGTGGTTCTGTGTTCACACTGTAAGTATATATACCCTTGCATAAAAAACCTGAAAAGGAAAGACCCACTGTCTTCTATAACCACCGTACAGAATGAGAGCCAGCTTTTTTTTTTTTAATTTTATGTATTTATTCTTTAGACACAGAGAGAGACAGAGGCAGAGGGAGAAGCAGGCTCCCTGCAAGGAGCTCAGTCCCAGGACCCTGGGATCACACCCTGCTGAGCCAAAGGCAGACACTCAACCACTGAGCCACCCAGGTGTTCCGATGGCCAGCATTTCTGTCTAGAGTTATGTGTACCTGGGGACCAGCAATTTGTCATTCCAAAGCCACACTACTGCTTCTGCTTACCGAGGTATGCCGCCTCAGAGTGGACTTGTCAGTGAACGTCCGCCCACATGCATTACACATGAATGGCTTCTCCCCCGTGTGGATGCGATGGTGACGCTGGAGAGCATTGAGCTGGGTGAACTGCTTACCACACTGGTCACAGCAATAAGGACGTTCCCCTGAGATGGGAAGAGAAGCAAGCCACTGGGTGATCTTTCCAGCCTACTTTATGGAATTCTGATACCCTGGAATCACGCTGCTGGGAGAGCACTGGGAAGCAGCTGCAGGAAGGCTACACTGGGAACAACTCAAGAGTCGATTGATGGGTACAAATCTATCCCTACAATACCAGGAGGTTATAGCTACACCCAAAAAGGACCAAAGCCAAAAGCTGGTATCACATCTACAAAAATTCACCTGTTTCCCACAGTAATGTAATATAAAATTCCAAGTCCCATAATAAGTGAATTTGCATGTGCGTATACTAATATGTATAGACAGACCATCAGCCCAAATTCCAATCTGAAAATACTAAAATGTCCACATATCCACAACCACATGCAAACATTCATACCGTTTCAGTTTCTGAAACCAGAAACTAGAAACTCAGAAATTAAAAAATGCTATTATGACACACAACTAAAACTTTGGGGATATTATCCTTGCCACACTGAACTCCCTTCCCTGGCGACATTCCAGCCATACCTGTGTGGACTTTAATATGCTGATAGAGTGAATTCCGCTGGGCAAAAGTCCTGAAACAAACTTCACATTTAAAGGGTTTGGATCCAGTATGGATTCTATTGTGATGTTTTAAATACTCCTTAGAAGCAAAACTCTTGCCACATGTTTCACACATAAAAGGTCTTTCACCTACATGAAACGATGAAACAGAAAGTTAGAAATGACAGAGGCACCGGAACGCCAGAAGAGTAGGCCCATGCCCTAGAGCACATACGAACTCAGAAGTGCCATACTGGGAAGCATGTTACATCTTTTAGCTAAAACTGTCATAAAACATCTATTCATGTAAGATGCCTGCTACTTGCTGAAAGTTCATGAAAAATCCTTGGGAATCCCAACAAGGATCCCACCAGCCTAGAATTAGATCGTTCAGTCAGCCCACATTTTGTAAACGTACTCATTCCAAACAAGAAATTAATCTTACAACTTGTTTGGGGGAATTGTTGAATTTTTTAAAGCAGTACTCCTGCACGTTATCAAGACAAAAGTCCCCCTTGAGAGGAGAGGGAGTTTACAGGGATACGTATGCATGGCTGGTCTGGGACAGCAACTCCAATCAGAATAGGAGAAAATTACTCCCCATTTCACATTGTACAGTTTGAGTCTTTTAATCTCACAAATCAGACTTACCTGATTATGAGGTATGCCCCTGACTTTACAAACACCAAAATAAAAATACTGGTTTTAACAGAAACTGAATACATTCATAGTTTCATCAAATGATGGGTTCTCACTTAATGCTTCAGTGTGACCTGATCTTACCTCCACCCCTCATCTTCCATTAGGCACCATTTCTCATTTTAGAGTCTCAGTAAATCCAATCATTAAATGCCTCAGCTCTGCCTCACCTGCATTTGAACTTGAGGCTCTTATGGCAGTATTTGAGACATACAAATTTAAAATGCAAGCAAGTAAGGAAGCACTGGGTTAGTATGATAACAGCAGCATACAACAGTTAGATTCTGTATCTCATACAACAAGGTTCTGAACCTCAGGATTGCTGTGCTAAATTTGAATAAAGTCAACTTAAATTTTCTCCCTCCCTTCGTACAATTACATCACAAAATTTTGGAAAATAGAAATGAGATAATCCCACGACCTAATACATCATATAGCAATTTATTTTCATCTAGTCTTTTATGTGCAGGTTTTCAATGTAGTTGGGATTAGCTGTATGCTGTAATTGTGCACTTCCCAGGCCACATCCAAGCACAGGTGTTTTTCATAACATTCAGAGCCCTGGGAGTGGCCCCATCGGGAGCCAGGAACAGATGGATTTACCAGTTTACTGAACCACTTCCTCTTTGGTTGGACAATCAGGCTGTTTATAATGCTCTGTTATTAGGGAGAGCAAGAAGTAGATGACAGTATATAGCTTCTCCCGTATTTTGAACAATTTCTTTAAGACAGATCCCTGGAAATGGAATTCGAAGCTAGTACAGTGGAAACGGTTTCATACCCCTTGATACTTAAAGACTCAAGTGCCCAGTCCTAAGGCCCAGTGTGCGGAGGCAACTGCCACAAGCACGCCCCAACAGAGCCATGGGCATATCTGAGTTATTTGGTTTGGCTCACGTAAGAGAAGGAAAAGCTGTATCATGGCCTTAACCTGCACCACTTTGGTAGATGCCAACTTCTAAATTAAATGGCAATTTCTTCTACAGCTAGAAAAACATTCAATCACAACAGCATTGAGTATTTACCTGTGTGACACCTTTTATGATAAATCAGCATGTGGTTCTGAGTGAATCTTGCACCACATTCATCACAGACAAAAGGTTTTTCCCCTGTATGAATTCTGAAAGTACAACATTCAGATGATAACTTAGGATGTATCTCAAAGCTCACTTTGCAATACAATTTCCACTCTAGCCTGCAAAGACGGTTATTCCAAGAGACCGAATGAGGACGGCTGAAGTGGACGTACACAGGCCCACGACCTCCATCCCCAAAGTCGTTTCCACTGGAGGCCAGTAGGCTCCCTCGCTTCCCCGGCGGGGGGCGCTGCCCGGCCCATGCCCGCAGACTCTTGCCTCTGCTCTCTCACTTCACCACTGAATAGTACTGTGCGGGGTCTGCAAAGCTTCCTCATCAGAGTAATCGACCACAGACACCTCAGGACTACGGCTGACAAAGCACCATGTGATCAAAAACGTTACCGTCCATTCGTAAGATGGATGACATGACCAATCCAGAAAGAACGGCTCTCAAAATGCTGAAGAAAGCTGGTTTCTGAGGAGCGTGCATCAGCATATGAGTTTCACAGCTAGTATGAAGCAGCCATCAACCACGACTCACTGCATACTTCCTACACCAAGGTTTTAAACTGATTGCAGACTGAAAAGACAGTGAACACCGCACTGCCACCCCAAAGACGCCCCAGCCTGACAGCAGGTCTACAATACAGTAGGACTGCTTGTCTAGATTTCAGGCACAACCCGTGAGCACTGGAAGGAAAGCTATTTAAAAACTGGTGTACCCCGCCTACAGTTCCAAAGTTGTGAACAGAAAACACTGTCCTGATTCTGGAGCTTAGACTAACCAGTGGCACTTTCCAAGCCCTGAGAACAAACACAAGACCAGAGGAGTGTCCTAAAGCCCTAAACGTCCTCTCACTGAGGCTTTTCATGGATGGTGGGACCCAGCTGATCACAGGCCTGAGTTCTAAAAGAAGAGTCAGGAAGAGAACAATGAAGGTCATTAGCCCAAGTGCCTCTCCAGCCAAAGCACAGCAGCCAACAGAAGCTCCAGAGGCTCCTCTGGGGTAGGAAGAGCCTGGCCCGCTGGAGCCGAGATAAGGCTGGTGGGGCCTGGGTCTCACGTCCAGGCTTCTGTCCTGGCACCGGGCATGGGTAAAGGGGCTGGCTGTCAGCCTGGGGCCTGTAGGAAGGCTGAGGGAAGACACACCTCTACCCAGGAAGAGACCTCACAGGCATCCCAAAGCAGCCCCCCAACTTCTAGAGGGCACAGATTAAAGAGTGGAATGTCTGCGGGCTGTACTGGACCAACCCTGGTATGACCCAGATCCCCGGCATGCCTGGCTCCTGGTGGGCCAAGAGCACCCTGGCAGAGACTCTGGTGGGCGGCTGCAGCCCTACCTCATGTGGGTCTTCAGCGCTGAGGGCTGCGAGAACTTGGCGTCACACTCAGTGCAGCCATAGGGCTTGTGGCCCGTGTGCGTCCGTTCGTGCAGCCGCAGCGCCGTCTTGGAGCTCAGACCCTTGCCGCACTGCTGGCACTGGTGCCGCTCGCCGCCGCCCTCGTGCACCTGCACCACGTGTCGCTTCACATCCTTCTTCCTCTTGAACTTCTTGCCACACAGCTCGCATGGGAAGTGGCGCTCGCTGCTGTGCACATGGCGCTGGTGGCTCTTGAGATTGCAGCGGTTGGCGAAGGTCTGGCCGCACGTGTCACAGCGATGGACCACCTCAGTAGCCACCCCGTGGTGGTGCCGGATGTGCTTCAGGAAGCTTTTCTCGTACAGAAAGGCCTTTTCACAGATAGTGCACTTGAAGTTGCTCTTCCTCTTCTCACCCTCGTCGTCCTCATCATCGTCCTCCCCGTGGCCCGCTGCTGGCAGCGCCTGTGCTGCCACAGGCCCTGCGCCACCCTCCTCCCGTTTTGTGATGGGCTCCATCTCTGCTCCCGCGGTGTCGGAGCTGGGGTCCTGGAAGCCGCAGTGGTCCCCTGTGTCATCCTCAGCACTTTTCTGCTGCTCCCGGAGCCTTCTTGTGTACTTCTTTTTAGGTATTTCCACAAACACCTTCCTTCCAGCCAGCCGTCCACTGGCCCTCCTGATTTTCGTGTAGGGAGGCTTAACTGCATCTTTTTTCTTCTCTGGTTTCTCCTTGGACTTCCTTGGGGGTGTATCTGGCAACATGCCATTGCTGATTGTCTCGGCCAAGGGATCTGACTCCCCGAGGCCATTAGGGAGTGGACTGTCCACTGCTGGACTTGCCCCGAGGTCAGGGGCAACAGAGGGTTGGGAGCCACTGCTCGCTTCTGCCTCCTGAGATTCCGAGAAGTTCTGCAACTCCAGAAGTACTGACTCCAACATCTGTTTCTTCAATTGAAAACAAGTTTCCGATAAGTCCAGACATTTTAGTTTCTCAGCCATTTCCAGCATTCGCTGCACACGGTCTTCTTCAACCTGTACCTTTGCAGTGTACACAAACTCGAGAAATGAGGCAAAGTCAACAACTTGCACTTCATTTAGGTAGACATTAGTCCTCGAACCATCCACAGTCTTCTCATTAAGGAACATCTCCTTAAAGAACTTGCTGGTGGCTGCCAGCACGGCCTTATGGGCCATGAACTCTTCACGGACACCCTGGTACTCCACACTGACAGTCACATCACACAGGTGACCAAGAAGGCGTAGTTGGTGCATTTCCTGCAGAAGGTTGAAGGGTGAGGATTTGGATTCCAGCAGAACCGCACCACTTTCCATGTTTCTTTTTTCTAAAAATAACTCTAAAAACAGAAAAAAGAATTACTTGAGCAAACACTGAAGTGAAAGAATCAAAAATGAGGATTATTTCAGTTCTCTAGAGGATATAAACTGATTAATAATAACCAAAAGCTAGCTTCCCTCATGTAAAGATACAAATCACACCACTTAGCGACCTTCTACAGTGTAGTCCCGATGCACCTTCATAATGTAATATTTGCACACAAAAAAATTACTAAGGTTTCTCTCAATGATAAACACAACTGGTCAAAGTCATGCATAATGAAAAATGTGACAGCAATAATTTGTTTGCCTAGGTCATTTTCTAACTTGCTTACGGACACGTACCTCAAAACCTTAACAGAATTTACAGCAACAATAATATCTAGCTCTTTGGCCAGGAAACCAAACAATCAAAACAAAACATGTGGCCACTGCTGAGAACAAACCCGAAAGAATCATGTCTGCCTCTGAAAATAACCAACTAAACAAATAACTACTTTCCACGAGGAAAATCACATGGAAAAGTAGTCCACAATCCATGGCCATTTCCAGCACCCCTAAACACCTCATAATTTGAGTTACCATCACTCTGTGAGAATAGTTTCGTGAGCTGTGCTACCTTGAGCAAGTAACTGGCATCTCTCTAACCACAGTGTGCTCCTCTGTAGAAGACTGCCAGTCCCATGAGGCTGCAGGGACTACAACCATGTCAAATGCTTAGAGCTGCACCTGAGGTTTCTAAGCTACTTGCTATTGGCTTCCGTAGTACACCAGGCCTAGGTGTTGTTATCACCATCAACATCCCCACTTCGGGCAGCCCGGGGGCTCAGCGGTTTAGCGCCGCCTTCAACCGCGGGCATGATCCTGGAGACCCGGGATCGAGTCCCACGTCGGGCTCCCTGCACGGAGCCTGCTTCTCCCTCTGCTTGTGTCTCTGCCTCTCTCTCTCTCTCTCTCTCTGTCTCTCACAAATAAATCAAAAATCTTTAAAGAAAAAACATCCCCATTTCATGGAAGAACTAACAAGGTAACAGTAAGTGGCTGGGCTGGGACTTGAGCCTGGGCCTGCTCGTCAAGCCCCTCAGCTCAGCAGTGCCAAAGGCAGAGTCGCTTTGACTCTACATCTTCCCAAGGCTCAGGACACTGCAGAGGTCGCTCCCCAACCTCAAGGTGTCCTCTCCCTGGCTTCCATGGCACCACGCAGCACCATGGGTCACTCCTCCTGCTTTACTGGAGCAGCTCTCCCTCAGACTCCCTGACTCCTCAGGATGCGCCCCACCTTGCGCTCTAAATCCACCTTCCCTTTCCCAGGACATCTTGGTTCCTAAGCCTCCACAACCTGTCCTGCTTCCCCTCTCCTCCAGCCAGACCCTGGAGGTCAGACCCAGCGGGCCTGGGGCAGGCTTGTCTTCACCTTTCCCGGGGAGCCAGCCTCTCTGCTCCGCCCCCTTCTGCGGCCCCACAGGGAATGCCGTGGCGGCCCCTGGGGCTCCAGGGCCCTGCGACCGCCAGCCGCTCCGGGCGGGAGAGAAGTCCGCCCGCGAGGGCCCAGCGGCAACGAGAACGCGCAGGAGGCCTGAGCAACCACCGGAGGGCGAAAACTGAAAGCGCCCGAGAGGCCGCGGGGGGGGGGGGGGACACGGAGGACACCGACCCCAGGCCCGCCTCAGGGGAGGGGCTGCAGGGGGCTGCGTCGGCCCGACGCCCACCCTGGGAAGCGGCCCTGGCCCGCCGGCGGCCGCAGCCTGCACGGTGGCCCGCGAGCTCGGGCCGGGAGGCGGCGATCATGGCGACGGCCGTGCCCCGCGGCTGCCCCCGGCCGCGCCTCGTCCAGAGCGTCGCCCTCGGGCCCTCCGCCGCGGCGGCGCACGCCCCCGCCCCGCCCCGCCCCGCCGCCCCGCGCCGCGCCGCCCCGCAACACGCTCCGCAACACGCCCCGCAACACGCCCCCCGGCAGACTGACCCGGCGCCTGCTGGGCCGCAGGCGTCCCCGGCTCCCGCGCGGTCTGGCCTGGCCCTCCGGCCCCGGGCCGCCCCCGAGGCCCGACGCTTCTCCGGCGGAGCACGCGCGGACCGACCGGGAGGCGGAGGCTGGAGCCAAGGGGCCCCGGGGCCCGCGGGCCGCACACTCACCTCCCAGCCGGCGCCGCCGCCGCCGCCGCGCGTCCGCCGGACCAGGCCCCCGGGACCCACGGCCCCGCTGGGCGGAACGCGGCTGGCAGCGCGGGCCCCGCCGATTGGCCGCCGCCGCCGCCACTCCGCCCCGCCCCCGGCGTCCCCGTCCCCGCCCCCTCTCGCGGCTCGGGGCTCGGGGCTCGCGGCTCGCGGCTCGCGGCTCGCGGCTCGGGGAGGGACTGCGCGCGCACGTCCGACTGCGGAGGCCGATGGAGCAGTCGCCGGGCTCCACCGACGCTGGGGCAGGAGTCCGCGCCCGCGGGCGCCACCGCCCCCAGCTGACGTCTGCGCCTGCGCACGAGACGGTGACGGCGTCCTCGCGTCCGGCCGCGGCGTCGCGGGGCGGAGCCGGCGGCCACGGCAGTCACGGGGCCCGGAAGGAGCGGGCCGGGCCGCCCGCGGGCATCCTGCGCCTGGAGGGCGGGGGACGGAGCGCTCAGCGCGCGTCCTTGGCGCAGGGTCCCGGCCCGCCCCGCCCCGCGCGCCCTGAGCGCCGCGACCACGCGTCACCGCGGCTCAGCGCCCGCCTCCGGTCCCGGGGTCCCGGGGTCCGCCGCCGCCGCCCGACGGGGCTTCCCGCTGACGCCGCCGCCCTTCGGGGAAGACTTGGTGCTCGGTGGCGGGGCCCCAGCTGGCTCTGCGCGCCCTTTTGCGCCCTCCTTCAAAGTCCCTCCTCGGAAGAGCTGCGCTGGATTCGACTTCAAGCTCCCGGTTCCTCTGGGCCCTGCTTCCCTCCCTCCGGGGGCCGCAGCCGAAGCCTCGTGGCGGGCGCAGGACGCGCAGGGCCGTGAAGCACGCGGTGGACGGCGGGACGCGGCTCCGTCTCCTCCGTGCGAGGGTTCCCGGTCTGAAGCGGCGCTGGGCCTGGGTCAGCCGGAGGGGTCCCGGCCGGGGGCGAGCGGCGCCGACCGCCCAGTCTCCTGGGGGACTCGCTTTAACGGGCGTGTTGCTGGAGGCGCACGGCCACCTCCTGCCATAGAGGGGAGGAGGCTGCCTCCCTCCGGGCAAGCCTGACGGCCGACTCGGAAGGTCGCTCCGGGCGGCGGCGAGGAAGGGCGCGCGGTCCGCAGTGCCGCCGCCTCCTCCTGCTGCAGGCCCGGTCAGCGCCGCTCCCGCCGCGCGCGGGTCTCGCGTCGGACCCGGCGCTGCTCCGTCTTGGTCAGCTGCCCGCGAGGCTTCTGCCGAGATACGGGCGTCTTCTCTTCTGCCTCCGTGGAGGTTCCTGGGTTGGAAGCAGATTTCTATAAATTTGATTTTTATTGGTGTTCGATTTGCCGACATACAGAATAACACCCAGTGCTCATCCCGTCAAGTGCCCCCCTCAGTGCCCGTCACCCATTCACCCCCAACCCCGCCCTCCTGAGTTCATTTCCCAGAGTTAGAAGTCTTTATGTTCTGTCTCCCTTTCTGATATCTCCCACACATTTCTTCTCCCTTCCCTTATATTCCCTTTCACTATTACTCATATTCCCCAAATGAATGAGAACATACACTGTTTGTCCTTCTCCGGTTACTGTGGCCAAGTTCAAAAAGGGTGTTGCCTGGGTTCTCCTCTGGGATTCTGATGGGATCTTGTCTCACATTTAGACGGAAGCAGATTTCATTCCAGTGTCGCCTCCTCAACAGGACCCAGCTTCCCCCTCGAAGCGCTCAGCACCGAGCAGGGGAGGAGAAGCGCCGTTGCGTGGGCGCCCTCGGGGTTGGCGCTCGGTGATTCCGGGGACTGGCGTGGGCGCGAGGTGCTCTGCTGCCTCACCGAGACCTTCAGTGCTTATTGCACATGTGTGCTATTTCCTTTGGAGGAATTTTTCTTTATTAAGATCCTCTAGTTGTTTTGTTTTTTTTTTTTTTTGACTTATTGGTGTTTGTATTATTGAGTTGTAAGAGTTCTTTCAACCAAAAGTCCCTCATTGGATAGTACGATTTGTAGGTGTTTCTCTCTTTCCGTGGGTTGTCCTTCTACTTTCCGGATGGTGTCTTTTGAAGCACAAGAGTCTTTGATTTTGATGGACTCCGATCTATTTTTGTTGTTGTTGTTGTTGTTGCTTTTGGAAACTGTTGCCTAATCCAAGGTCATGATGACTTAGACCTGTTCTCTTCTAAAAGTTTTGTAGTTTTAGCTTACGTTTAAGTCTTTGATCCATTTGGAGTTGACTTTTGTATGCATATGAGGTAGGGATCCTACTTAGTTCTTTTTTTCTTAAATTTTTATTTATTTATGATAGGCACACAGTGAGAGAGAGGGAGAGAGGCAGAGACACAGGCAGAGGGAGAAGCAGGCTCCATGCAGGGAGCCTGATGTGGGACTCGATCCCGGGTCTCCAGGATCGCGCCCCGGGCCAAAAGCAGGCGCCAAACCGCTGCGCCACCCAGGGATCCCAATCCTACTTAATTCTAATTGCATGTGATGATCCAGTTGTCCCAGTATTTGTTGGAAAAACTGTTCCTTTCCCCATGAAACTGGCCTCCTTGTCAAAAATCCTTTTACTGTAAATGCCGCCATTTACTTCTGGACTCTGTGCATTTGATCCATGGGACTGTCCTCAGTACCACACTGTCTCAGTTAGTGTGTATGTTTTCCTTTTTCATAGAGAGGTTTTAAAATTTTGCTGATCTGCCAGTCTTTTCTTTTGGGTCTCTTCTGCTGAATTTAAGCCCAGAAAACACTTCCAAATACAAAGCAGAGAGAATAGGAAGAATGGAGGTGCAGAGATGCTGCCCCGAGCACCTACTGTACCAAGAACAGGCTGCAGGCGTGACTTTGACACTCCTGGTGGCCAAAGAGAAAAAGGCCATAAAGTTTTATCTACCAGGAAGGAGAAAGCAAATTTAGTTTGCTCAGAAGTTTTGTATACATGGTGATATATGTCCTAAAGAACACAATTTAAGATCAACCATCCTCCATGTCCTCCATCATCATTTTCATCTTTTCTCTTCTTCAACTTTGGATCAAATGAATTTGCTCCCTCCTCGTCACAGCCAGCAGATTCCCTATGATTGGCTTCCGTCAAAGATCCAGGGTCTGGTGCTGCTCCTGACATCTGTTCAGGGACTCAGGGACATCTGTTTTGTAGTCTCTTGCTCCTGATCAGCTGGTGAGGGGACAACCACCCCCCACACTGGCCGAGGTTTTTGTCTTGTCTGGATTCATGTATTTTTCTGTAGAAGCACAAGATGTAACTGCAGTGGATAAACACTCACCGGCATGAACTGGGCAACTGTAAGAAATCAGGTACACTTTGGAATGAGATGTAATGCACAGCTCGCATCCCCTACATGGGGATGAAGACTCGGGAGAAACAGGCTGGTGAAACCCCGTGAGTTCTAGGTAAAAATAGTACTCCTTAACCATGTGATTTGGGGCAAACAGCTCACCCAGTGTGCTGTCAGGGCACACCTGGACATGCGGTGGCCCTGGGAACATGCCACATCTCTGGTGAAGCTGTCACCTTATTTCACTGTGGTGTGGGACTCACTGAAAGAACATGCTTGAATGGGTTAATGGTGCCAACTTCCTGGTGGCTAGTGTCCACAAACATGGCAGTTCCCTGGGGAAAAGCCTAGAACATACAGGGATCAGTAAGAAAGTAGCATGTGCCCTTCACAGATATCCTGGGTGCAGAGCAGTGGATCTGGGATGGGCACAGGGCAGCCTGCTGGAGTGGCTGCACATCTGTCTCTTGACCTGGGTGGTGGTTAAAGGGGGTCTGTTACTAAGCTTAATATTTGTTTTGTGTAGTTTTCTGTATCTGTGTCTTGTTTCTCAGTTAAAAGAAAATAAAAGGAAATAAAGAAGACATCCTATTCCCATCTATCAACAGATAATGTGCTCACTGAATGTACTGCCCCATTGTTGACTGCAGACATGTGGCTAAATGGCCACTTCTCTGCTTGGTCTGTTGTTTCCCACACTGTAGTTATTAAGTCACTCAAATCACCAACTGGGTCTCTTCAATTACAGTGTAGCCCCACTTTGTTCCTGCAAGCAAAGCAAAGGGAAAGGTATGTGTCACCTTGAATTGCTGCTGACCCTGTCAGGAGCCAAAGACCTTTCCCAAGTTAGGATTATAGAAAAAAGATTTGAAGAATTCCAGGAATAGAGCCAACTATGTAATAACTTGAAAATCCTCCTGCTACAAACCCTTAGAAATGGTAGCTTAAATGTAGCAACTATCTCTGAATTCATAACCAAGTTTACAAGAAATTTGGAAAATCTCTGGGGTTCAGAAATAAAGAGGGAGCTGAATAGTAAGCCTGTTGGTGAGTTAGCTGCACTGCCCTTGAAGGGGTTGTGGGTCTGGTCTTGACAGTAGAGATAGGAATCTGGATTTCCACACACATACACATAGTCAAGAACGCAAGGACAGTGAGACCTTGCAGAAAGCTGAGAGTCACAAGGAACCACACCCTCAATGAAACAGTAGTTTAGAAGGGGGGGGGGGGATTCCCTGTCAGCACAGAGAATCAAGTAGCTGTTGAGTTTAACCTGAGCTAGGCATGTAAAAAATCTCCCCTAAAGATTCATGACTATGGGCATACCTCCACACACGGAGTTGTGGTTCAGTTTATGCTGTCTTGGAGACCTGGGAACCTGTTAGCATGGAAATAAATTATCATAAAGCCTGTTCCCTGGCTAGAAACATCCCTGGGACACCCAAAGAAGCAAATGCAAACCTGCTCTGGAAGGACAGACAAGAGGCCAAACTTCCTGAGCAGTGGAGGCAGCCGTGAAACAGACAGCAGGTCGGACCCATAAGAACTTTAGGAGGACTCACGGATTCTACCGTAAATATATTCACATTATTTAAAACAAATGGAGGACTTAAATATGTTAGAATAAGATAAAGCGCAAGCAGATATGGAAAAGGACTAAATAAAACTGAGGGTTAAAATATACTCACTGAAATCAAAAGCTGCATTGGGGTAAGGACAGCTGAGGAATTACTGGGCTGGAAACAGAACTGAGGCCATTACCAACAATGCAGTGGAGATGCAGGATCGGAGATAAGAAAGAGAAGAGAGAGTAATAAACATACTCCTAATAGG